GATCCTTATCAGTTCAGACATCTCACCATCCTTTCATTATAAACTTCATTGTTCCAGGTAGGCCAAGAAATACATGTTCATGAACTAGATTTGTTCCATGGCTGTTAAAAATTACTTTTTGCCATTATGTAAACTAGGTTCTTTAAAGCACATTGATGTTTTAGAATTTTTTATTAAGAATTTTTTTTATTCATTTTACATACCAACTACAGATCCCCCTGTTTTAGAATTTTTTAAGGGAAACTATACAATAGGTTCAACAAACCATCTCAAGAAACTCTCCAGAAAGATCTCTAGATGGGGAGAAAGGAAATTGGATTCAGAAGCCGGAAATTGTTTTGAATCCTACTATTCATGGCTGCTTGAAGAACAAGACAATTTTCAGCTCAAGAAATCTCACACTCTAAAGAATCAGGCAAACAAAAGCATCTACAATGTGAATTTCTGAAAAGGTGAGAATAAGTCATAGTCAGTTCACAATGTCTGGATTTATCGACAGAGGGACGCAGCAAATATTTTTACTCAACATTCCTCCTGCTCTAATCCAAATGTAAAGAGTTGATTTTTTTTAAATGAGCCACAGAAGGGTGTATGAGATTATTTGGTATAGTGACCCACATAATGATCTACAGCTGATGCTGTAACTACTGATCCAAGTTCCTAGACCTACACACTGATATGCAGACTTTTGTCTGAAAGACACAAATAATTTCTTGCAAAGGTTTTCATTCACTGCTCTATAGAACATTAAGCAATGTTGTATGTTCCTCAGAATTCATATGCCAATATTTCTCTTTCTTTTTCTTTTTTTTTTTTTAGATTTATCTTGTGTGTTAGGGTTTTGCCTACACGCATGTATGTGCACTAACTCAAGAGAGCCTGATGCCAACAGAGGTCAGAGGGGGTCAGAGAGATCCCCTGGAACTGGAGTTGGGAGCTTCTGTTAGCTGCCTCGGGGGTGCTGGGAATGGAACCTGGGTCCTCCAGAAGAACAAGTGTTCTTAACTGCTGAGCCATCTCTCCCACACCCATATGCCAATCATCCTAACTAAATGGCTTATATTATTTAGTTCCTCTGATGTGGTTTCTAATATCTTAATATTTCACAGTTCTCCTACTGAGTTTAATTAGGGCTGCTTGTTTGAGCATGGGTGCGGGGTTATTTACTCGAGTTGGGGCAATTTGAAGAAAGTGACACACATACCCAGTAGCCATTAACTGCCAAGTGTTCCTCTATACCACTGATGTCACACACACACACACACACACACACACACACACACACACACAAACCAATAGTTCCCCGTGGGGGAATAAGGCCTCGTGAGCCCCTCCCCCATCCATTGATCCACTTGATCATGAGCAGCTCACTCGGGCTGTTGTGGGTTCACGAGTGCAATGGCCTAGAATACAGCGTTTCCGGCACTCCTCTCCATCCTCCAGCTCTTACGCTCACCCCACCCCTTCTTCTAGAGAAGTCCCCGAACCCTGGTGGTGGTTCGTCCCATTTAGAGATGAACACTCAACAGTCTTATACTTGGACCAGCTCTGAGTCTCTTCAGGCACAGCCTCTCTGAGAATAGCATTAACTTAAGAAATGAATTCCCCGCTCCGCTGGGCTGAATTGAAAGATGCAGGTCTCAGTTTTCTCTGGTTCTGGCAGTCCCCACCTGGTGCTGTAGGGTAGGATGGGGTGTGGGGAATGGTTGCTGTTGGTCTCGGCAGCACGTGTTCTCTGTGGCTCTGGCACGTGGAGGAAGGAAGGTTAAAAGTCCTTTCCTCGTAGTTTCCTCTCACCCCCGCATCCACCTTGACCTCTTCTGGTCCTGAGGGTCTGGGTGTAAGTGACATTCAGCCTGCTTGATTCCGTGTGGGGCTGGCTGGAGAGGGCTTGCGGCATCAGATGCCTGCAGAGAGTTCCCTGGCTTCACCAAATCCTTTACAGACTACCAAATCCTTTACAGACCCACCCCTTGCAGGAAAAGGAGTGTATTGTTGACTGTTTTCATCACCAAGGTTCAGTGAGGAAGCTTTAAATCTGCCACCTTACACAGAATGAAACACCCATATGCGTATTAGTGTAAAATACCTTTTTTCCCTTCTGTTTCAAGACAGGGTCTCACTATATAACCCCAGGAATCCTGGACCCTCTCTGTAGCCCACACTGGTCTCAAACTCGGGTGATCCTCCTGCCTCTGTCTCCACGTGCTCAGGATTACAAGCACATGCCAGCATTTTAGTTTCTTTTCCTGTTGCTGGGATAAAATGTTCTGACAGAAGCACCTTAAGGGAGAAAGCGCTTATTCTGGCTCACAGGTCCCTCACAGAGGGGAAGTCAAGGCAACAGGAGTGTGAACCAACTGGTCACATGACACCCACAACCAGGAAACAGACAGAAATCACGGTGAGCACTCAGCTGGCCCCCAGAGGAACACCCAGCAGCCCATCTCCTCCATGACTCTAGAGTCTGTCAAGTTAACAACACTAATTACCACAACCACTATACCCAGCTCACTGCTATTTTTAAATACCCTTAGGTTGAATCACCTACAAGCTAGATTTGCCCAGAGATCATATGCTTCCTTTGGACTCAAAGATACTGGCTGTCCTCCGGAAAGTACCCTGAAGCCAGCGTCTCCCATTTAAAAACCACCAAACCGACTTGCAGTAATTCCTACTTCCCGGGCTGCTAATGAGGGTGAGCAAGGTGTGTTTCCCGCAGAGCCCCTCTACCCTTCTTGTGGTCTCTAATGGAACTGTTTAGAATGGCAGGGACACAGAGCAGGCAATTAAGGCAGGAAAGAACAGCTCGACACGAACTAAGCAAGGATGGAAGGAAGCGCCTGCCCAGGGCCAGTCCTCACCAACTTGCTTCCAGAACACAATCACTATTCTCCACTCTCTTCTCAGAGAGACATCCGTTCTCAGAGCTCAGCCCACATCTCCTAGGACCATTTACTTCAGCGGCCAGCCCAGACAGATGCAAAGTCAGGATGGAGATCTCAGGATAGCGCCAGCCTATGAGAGTGCTGCTTCACACATTTCTGGGCCCTTCTCCAGGAACTTCCGGGTGCTCTTTGGGAATCACGCTACTGCCCTCCATAAAAGAACATAGTGAGAAACAGACCTTCCCAAGCCAGCCATGGTAGTACATGCCTAGAACCCCAGCGCTCAGGAGGCTGAGGCAGGAGGATGGACTTTTCAGAACAGCTTGGACTACATGGTGAGATCAGTCTCAAAAGACAAAATGACAAAAAAGAGCCCCACCCAGCCACCCAATCATTCTTGTATATAGTGGCCATTGGGGAATTCACAGAATAAAAGCAATGGAGAAAATTCCTCACCTGCTCCCTCCGTCTCTGGAGACCTATAGAGAGCTACAAGAGAGAACGCCACCCTCACTCGAAGCTCACTTCCCTAGTCTCATGATCCTCCCCCCCTTCATCTGCCTAGCCCCACCATTTTCATGACTCCAATGAACTGCAGGGAGCGTTGAGTCCTCCCTCCCCAGAACAAAACAGGATATGACTAGGAAGAGGAGGAGGGATACTGGCGGTTACTGGGCACCCATGGTCATTCCGGGGACCTTACACACTGTCTGTCTACACCACTTAATGCACCCGATGCTAGCCTGTGCCGGTGCCTACAGGGAGGCCTCCTCACCCTCTAAATGGGTTTCCTGAATGGCTTGTTCCTGTCTTTAAAGGAGGAAGGAACAGTAAGTCATCCTGGATTTAAGCAGCATACATTTTTGTCTGTTCACAGACGGTGGCTTTTATTCATGGAATGAGCAGCTTTTAGTGGCTGCTGAGGACTTGAGGGCTGTTCAGAAATTCAAGCCTCACAATCAATGGCTTGGAGTCACAGCACCCGACTGACAGACATGAAAAAGGACAGGTTTAGAGCATAATTCACTAAGCCCCAGGTGTAACTCCACCAAACTTAAGCGTATCACTGACATGCCTATCACAACATAAAGGACACTCAACAGAGCCTGTCCTCTCCAGTCTTCCTCTCCCAAATTCAGGGTGCCTTTGAGTCGGACGAGCTTAGGTTCCTAAACGGTCACATTTACATTTTACACCAATTTTACTCTTCCAAGAGTGAATGTGAAAACAGGCGAGATTTCTAGGAAGCGATTTACTAGTAAACACAAGCCCTAAAAATGCCCCCCTGCTTCTTCTTGCCAATTCCATTTCTGAGAATCTACCCACAGGAAAGGGCTGATTCGATGATGGCTGGTGCACGAAGTACAGCTTAGATAAAAGAGGCACATCTAACGTAATAGAGGGGGAAATGGACATAATCAACACAGCCACCGGGGGACTGTTCATTATGAAGATTCGTCTGCAGTGATTAGTCACGATGGGCATGTGGAGTTCTTCACTGTGTGAGAGCACCATTCTCGATGAAAACGTGAAGCAGGAAGAATAGGGGGCAGAAGTTTAAAGTCAGGTTCAACCTCAGGGATCTCTCACAGAACAGACATGTTATGAATAAGGAACTGGAGGAAACACCCAAGAAAAATCAGGGCTGTGATGGGGTAACTTATTTACTCTTCATGTGTCTCCAGTTCCCAAAGTTCAAGGATGAACAAGTTCTCACTTGTGTGACCAACTGAAATAAAGGTCTTAAAAACAGGACGGAGGGACTAGACAGTTGGCTCAGTGGTTTAGAGCACTTGTTCTTGCAAAGAACCCAGGTTTGATTCCCAGCACCCACATGGTGGCTCACAACCATCCTTAACTCCAGTTCTAGGGGGATCTGATGCTCTCTTTGACCTCTGAAGGCACCAGGCACACATGCAGTGCATATAGATGCATACAGGAAAACAAATACACACAATTTTTTAATTTTTAAATTTTAATTAAAATAAATCAAGAAGGCCGAGGTATATATAAGCTCAGTGGTGGAGCAGCATTACGCATGCGCGAGGACCTTGAGTTCCGTTCCAACACTACCCCAAATGGAAGCTGTGTAGAAATTCACCACAAAGCTCATTCTTGACTACAATGTACTCCTTTTTATTAAATTATAAAATTGCTTGATGTCAGTACATACACTGATATAAAGGAAACAAAATACCCTTTTCTCAGGTATCTGCTTCTGGAGCCCATGGTTTTGAACAAACAACAACAACAACAACAACAACAAAACCCAGACTAAGTTCTTGGCCTCCGAGCTCTGCAGCTTTGACAACCAAACTACCAAGCGTAGCCGTCCTATGTACAGTCGGGATTTGTGGGAAACACTATAAAGACAACGCCCTGAAAAGATGGACGCGAGGCAGGGGCCGTGACAGCTGCTAAACTGGTAGAAAAGTTTAGTCAAAATAAAGTTTTAGTTCATTATAGCTTTGCATAAGCCTCAGGAAGGAAAACTTAAGACACATCTTGTCAAAGGCACTTAGAGAACTGTAATAAAATACTTGTGAATTTAGTTTGAGACAGAGTATTCTTCTTACTCCTTTTTCATGATTGCTTCACACAGAAGCAGTGTTGGAAGGCAGCTATGAATGAGGAAAAATAGTTATTGCTCCTTAATATACATATTAAAAAATACAGAGAGATTAATACAGATTTTGGTCCACACCAAAGCAAGTAACAGTGTCAGACTGTACTGTTTCTCTTCATCCTGGGCAAAAAGTCATAATCAGCTTTACCCCAGTCCCACACACAGAGTCTTCGGTTGGTAATTGGTACTGTCTACCGCCTGGGCCCCCATCATATCTCTGCAGGGCACTTTAACTGGAGAAGATCTCCAGGCCGGCCTAACAGGAGTCCATGCACAGCCATCTATAATTCCGTGTCTCGGTACCGGGAGGGCTGGCTGTAGTAACCACGCTTCGAGTGCGCCGCCAACTGTTGGCGGTATTCCTCTTCCTCCTGATCACTGCCGTAGCTGGTGTCCTGGTAGAGTCTGGACGGAGCTTTCTGTGGCTCTGGAGGTCTAGAACTAACAAAGATAAGGGTATCTATCACACAGCCCGCATCGTCCAGCTGCCCACGGGGTCACTGAAGCTATGAGTCCAGCAGGCTGATCAGTTCCTGACCCCTGGGTACAGTTTACCACTAGCCAGGGTACTGCTGGTCCTTCTTCAGGTTCACAGGGTGGAAAGGGAAGAGATGCGGTATGGGTCAAGGCCAAGGCCTATCTGGGCAGCTATATGTTGTCTGAACTAACGTAGGAAGGCTGTACCCGGTGCACTTCTATGCTCCCCACTACAGCCCCACTCAGTCGAGTCCTCTGTCCATGGCAAATCAATTATATTAAGTTTCCTCTGTCAGGGTCAACTTGGTCAACTGTGTGGGCATTCAAATAGTAACCACCATGCCTTTAGTTTCTCCGTGCTTTAAAACAAGGCTCCAGCATCCAGAAGTAGGAGACCACTCAGGGTGAGCTCTCCACGGGAAGAGAAGGATAATGCTTGTCGAAGTCCTTCAGATCTAGTTCGGCACAAGTGGCCCAACTGTGCATGGTGATACAATGGAATTGAGGGGTTTGGCTAAAAGCCTACACCTTGAAAATTCTGCTCACGTGCCCTCCCAATACAATATAAGGGTCCAGTGTACCACAGGGTATTAGGCACACAAGTCAAGTGACCAGAAATGTCCGATTCTGTAATCTTTTCAAGACAGGGTCTCTCTACATAGCCCTGGCTGTCCTGGAACTCACAGAGATCCACCTGCCTCTGCCTGTTCTTTGGTTCTTTTGGTTCTTTGATCTTAATAGCTAAGTTTGACTGACAGGATGGGGTGCACAGTCAGCCTGGGAAGGAAATTCTCTCACTGCTCTACCGTCTGGGTAGAGCAAACTTTTCAAATCCAAATGCTGGAGAAGCCTCCTCCTGTGGCCTACACCCACTGAACAGCCCTTACCTCATGTGCGGGGGCAGGCCGGCGTCTGGCTTGGGGGCTTTGATTGGAACGGCATAGATGTCAGGGTGCTTCTGGGCGATTTCGATCTGTAGCAGTTAGGAAACAGGAGAGAATGGGCGACGGTATGGTTCTCTGGTCGCCTGCAGGCCTACCCTGTCCCCACATCCTACCACCTTTCCTCCCAGTTCATTTCCAGACAAAGAAACACAGATGGGAGCCTGTTTCCATGGTCGGGTGGGGTCTTGGGGAATGTGCCCAATGGTGAGGACCCAAGCATGGGGAGGAGCCCGGAGACAGTACACGGAGTAATTTGACAAAAGAAACCAATACTGTCTGACTCCAAGCATGGGAGGCCCCTAAACCATCAAACGCAGAGGCAGAGAGGTAGACCACAGAACGGTGCAGCCGTGGATGGAGGAGGGACCGGGCTTCACCGTCAGCCGGGTGTAGTTTCACCTGGGAACTGAGAAAGTTCCTGCGAGTCCAGAGTGGTGACGGCTGCACACTGATGCCAATGTACTTTATGCCACTGAGCTGCCTGCTTAAAAGGGCCAAAATAATAATTCTTATGTTAAGTAGGACTTGTTGTCCCAACTACTCAGGAGGCTAAAGCTGGAGCATGTCCTGTGTGGATATATTGTGTCCCCCAATATATTGTGCATCCTAATAAACTTATCTGGGGTCAGAGGACAGAACAGCCACTAGATAGACATAGAGGGCAGAAAATGGTGGCACACACACCTTTTTTTTTTTTTGGTTTTTCGAGACAGGGTTTCTCTGCGTAGTTTTGCGCCTTTCCTGGAGCTCACTTGGTAGCCCAGGCTGGCCTCGAACTCACAGCGATCCGCCTGGCTCTGCCTCCCGAGTGCTGGGATTAAAGGCGTGCGCCACCACCGCCCGGCTGGCACACACACCTCTAATCCTATTATTTGGGAGGCAGAGATCCATCTGGATCTCTGTGAGTTCAAGGCCACACTGGAAACAGCTAGGCATGGTGACTTATGCCTTTAATCCCAGAAAGTGATGGCAGAAAGCAGAAAGGTATATAAGGCGTGAAAACCAGGAACTAGGGCTGGTTAAGCTTTTTGGCTTTTAGCAGCAGTTCAGCTGAGATCCATTTAGATGAGAACTCAGAGGCTTCCAGTCTGAGGAAACAGGATCAGCTGAGGAATTGCGTGGTGAGGAAGCTGTGGCTTGTTCTGCTTCTCTGATCTTCCAGCGTTCACCCCAATACCTGGCTCCAGGTTTGTTTTTATTAATAAGACCTAACAATTCGTGCAACAATCTCCTGTACCTGGGTCACCCTGGGCAACGTAAGCAAGGTCTCAAGAAGAGTGTGTGTAGAGGGAGTGTGTGGGGGGGGTGGCTGGGGGAAAGTCTGTCTTGCCTTTGTCCCTGCTGTGGGAGGTTGTTCTGTAGGCTGTGAATATATGTTGCTTTGATTGGTCAATAGCCAGGCAGGAAGTATAGGCAGGGCAAGCAAAAGAGAAGAATTCTGGGAAGAGGAAGGGCTAAGTCAGGAGTTGCCAGTCAGACACAGAGGAAGCAAGATGACAAGGTGGAACTGAGAAAAGGTACCAAGCCACGTGGCTAAACATAGATAAGAATTATGGGTTAATTTAAGTGTAAGAGCTAATTAGTAATAAGCTTGAGCTAATAATGGCTGAGCAGTTATAATTAATATTAAGCCTCTGTGTGATTATTTTATAAAAGGCTGCGGGACTGTGGGTGAGAGATTTGTCCCGATTGCGGGCCAGGCAGGACACAGGAAGTCTTCCAACTCCACGTCCCCCCCTTTGGAGAGAAGGTCTCACTGTGTCACCCAGGCTAATCTGCAACTCCCCAGGCTCCAGCACCTGCACCAGCCTCCGAGCTGCTGGGACTATAGTGAGGCTCCCACGTCTGGCATCACTCAAGTTCTTTGATACTGAAATGTTTCACGTGCATTTCAAAAATTCAAATAGCTAAAAAACTACAGCCTGCAGGCCCAACGGCCACTAATATCCCACGGCAAACCTGGGAACATATAAGAGACAATCGGACCCCACATAACCACCACCCATGTTCCAGCTAAAATAACTTCTGAGGGGTACTGAGGCTCACTCTCTATCCCAGAGCAGGACACACAGATCTGAAGATTGGAGACTGAAACTTCCTTCATTTGGACTGTAAGGGTTTCTTTCTTCCTTCCTTCCTTCCTTCCTTCCTTCCTTCCTTCCTTCCTCCCTCCCTCCCTCCCTCCCTCCCTCCCTTCCTTCCTTCCTCTTTGCTTATTTGTTTTTATTTTCTAAGACAGGGTTTCTCTGTCTAATCCTGACTGTCCTGGAACTCACTCTGTAGATTACACTCGGGTTGGCCTCGAACTCACAGAGATCCACCCAGCCTTTGCCTCCCAGGTGCTGGGATCCCAGGCGTGCGCCACCACACCCGGCTCTGTTCCAATCTTCTTGATTGGAAGCAAAAAGGATGTGCTGACAGCAGGCAGTCTGGAGGTGGCACACAGAACCGGGCGTACAACTGTGCCCGGCATGACAGCAGTGGGAAAAGCGGTGTATGCTGCCGCGCTGTGAGCAAATGTCTTGAAGACTCACTGGGGGAGGCTAAGGTGCTCTGGGGGTTCAAAACAATTACCCTCGCGCTCTGTGCCTCCTGGAGCTCCTGCATCCTCTGTAATTTTGCCTGGTGGTCCATCTTCTCGAATATTTTCACTCTGCCCAGGACTGACCTGGGAGCATCTTCCTGCTCCTCAGTGCTCTCCCCCACCTCCTCGCTCTCAGGCACAGGGACGGGAGTGGAAGGCTTCAGGATGGATCGCCCGAAAGCAGGTTTCACTGCAACAGGGGGGGGACACCCTTTGGTAGACCCCCCCTGGGTTTCACTGCCAGTCATGGCGTAAGGGATTGGCTTGGAGTAGTCGTAGGAGTCTTCTCTATGCTGGTTTCTGGCCTGTAAAGAGCAATGGCATGCCTTAGGAGCTTGGGCTTTTAGTTTATTTCCAGAACTACATTAATGATTTAATACATTGTGTTTCCTGATCAGTTTCCAAAGGTGGACACCGTAACCATCTTTACAAAGAACCAAATATGCCAGGGGCATCTTGAGCCCTCCCTGAGGACGACAGACGTGCTGGCAGAGGTGGGATAGCCAGCGACTGCCAGAGGGAGAACAGACCCACACGATTTCATGGTGGAGAAGATGGGAATCCCACAGAAGACCTCAGGAGAAATCAATTTGGGAAATGAAAAAAGTAGGTTTTTCTGAGGTCAAGCCGCATGGAGGGTACGAGATTGGGACAAAAAGCGAGCCCTGTGCTTGGCTGTGGGGGAAATGAAGCTGAGCTGGAGTGGCGGTGAGGTAGGCAGAACATGCCAGCAGCCAGGGCTCCCTCATGTTCAGTTCTAGCCCCGCTGCAGGCCTTCAGTGTCCTGTTACATAAAGTCACTAATTACTGCTGACAGCTTACATGGTCACGTTTTTCTTCTCATCTAAACTACCGAGTTACCAAAAATTCTACTGAGCTATAAGGAAAAGCCTATCGTTACAGGCTGACTGTGTGATCTGGGGCAACAAGCCACATGCCACACACCCTGGAGCCCTTCTGTTGATTCTCTTCTAGATAATACTTTATTAATTCAGTAAATTAAGAGGCTTTTATAGTGAGAGGCTTAGACAACAGCAATGCCTCTTTTCCTCAGCAGATCGCTAGGGAGGACCTCTGGTGCCCCCAAATTAGATTGTGGGCAGAAAACTTTAACTGGAGAGAAAAAGAAAAGTGCCCTGAGATTGGTGGTTGTAGCATGCAGCCTGTGACCACATTTCACTCTTTCTACCAAAAAAACCTAATTATTAATTAATTAAATCAAATAAATGAAAAGTAAATAAATGAAATAACTCTTATTCTCTGTGAATCCTAAAATCACACACTCTCCTAACGTTTTTTTGTGCCTATTTCGCACACATCTGTAGTGGGTAGCTGTTCCAGCTTTGACCTGGAAGTACTACCCCCAGGTAACTGTCACGCCTATAAGGCGGGGCTGAAACAGGAGCCCTTAAGACCTGAGACCCAGATGTGCCTGCAGGCTCTCTTGGTTCCTGGATCCTGGATGCTGGAGGTAGACCGAGCAGAGTTCTCCAGAGAACACCAGTGGACTGCACTATACCTTTCCCAGACCCTGTTACCTATCCCTTCCCTTGTAAGTTACCCCATAAAATAAACCTCCCTTTTAACTACATAGAGTTACCTTAATACTTCCACCAATACACATCCCTGATTTTCAGGCTCAGTCAATGGCCTGAAGGACAGACTCTCACAGGGTACATGGTAAGTTCAACATTGCCTCATTGTGTGTGCTCCCAAGGCTGCCCGGGGGCTCCAAGGCACCTGTGTCCTCCTCCTTCCCATCCTGGACTTCCCAGCCACATACCTTGGGCGGCTCTGGCTTGAATGCTGGGGGCGGGCTACCATCCCTAAGTAGATCTCTGCTAGTAGCCCTCCTCATCTGAGCTCGTGGCTCTGGGCTGGGTTTCCTTATGCTCTACAAAACATAAAGGTTCATTCATACCAAGAGCATCCAAGCAGAGAGAAGACAGCACTCTGCTCTGCTGGATTTCTGAAACCTTAAGGAAATGGAGAAGCTGACAAGCCAAGGCAGCGCTCTCCTACCGCAAAGAGGGATACCAACCATCCTTCGCTAGAGAAAGCTCAGGACACACTTCACTAAACTGGCTGAGTACAAGGCTGCTGGCTCTACCCTTAAAGGAAGAAAGAAACAAAACTGAATACTCCTAAAATCTAAAAATCCGTCTCACTACCAGCAGTATTCCTAAGCATCAGCTCGTTCTATATCTGTAGACATTAACTTACTCTTTACTACTTGTTTACTGTATATTAGTAATCTCTCTCTCTCTCTCTCTCTCTCTCTCTCTCTCTCTCTCTCTCTCT